AATGATTTTTAATCAAATTTGTCTAAATACCCATGAAAAAATCTCTCATTTGAGAGACCATGAAAGATTCACTTTTTTCTAAAAAAGTTGACATTTGTCATTTTATAATTGATTTTCATTTTTTTGAGAAATCATATTTCTATAGTTTAGAATATTAATTAAATAATTTATATGTTGTTAGTTTTTATATATATAAATCATAAATTAAAATTATTTATAGATCAAGCTCCAATATGAATAAATATACATTATATATTAACATTATTTTTAATTGATATTATCTAAGATTAATATTAAATATTAAATTAATATTTTTTAGTTAACAAAATAATATATTATTAAAAATGAGATTTTCAAAATTTAAAATTCTATTTTAAAAAATTTAATATTATATTTAATTGATTTTAATACAAAATATAAAATTAATATTGTTTTAGTTAATATAATGTTATGATTTTAAAATTAAAAAATTATATTTTAAATGTAATACGATATGCTTAAAAAATTAATGAAAATTTAACGTAAGTTTTTTAAACTAAATGATATTAAAAATATTAATATTTTATTGAGAAAATACTTATTGGGTATCTAATGAATGCATGTGATATTAAGTAATAAATTTCATAACTTAAAATATAATAAAAATACTAGTATACTAAAGATATGGGCAATTGTAAAAATAGCATTTTTGGTGTGTATATTTGCAAAAATATTATTTAAAGGTGTCTATTTGTAAAAATATCACTAGTTATGAATTTTTAAAGTCTAAATCTTAAAATTATAAACTCTAAAAAAATTTTGATCCCTAAAACCCTTGAAACTAAACTTTTAAAACTAAATTCTAATACAATATAATTAACATAAACATAAATTATATAATGAAATTTTTTTTACAAAAAAATGTTATTTTTGTAAAATTTTTAAAAATGTGACATTTTTTAAAAATTGCTCTTGAAAAATGATAAAGATGCTCACAGAGTTATGTGCACACAGAAATCAGTGGGCCCACTTTTTATTTGTTTTAAATTGAAAAACTGAAGTCAAGAAAAGCAACTTCGAGTTAATATATGAGAAAGATAAACTAGCTCGTGAACTTAACCTAATTATTTAATGGCTAAGTGTAAAGTGTTCATGTTTTTTTTTTTTTTTGGAAAACCAAGTGTT